CTCCTGGTGTCCACACCCAACTTCACAAAGACCCACACATGCTCAGCGTGCGCATCCCACAGCCAAGGACAGTGGCCAAGAGCCTGAAATCCCTCCTGCCCTACCCTGGTCCATGGCCCACCCCAGGGGGGCAGGAAGCTGAGGCCTGTTGGGCTCTCCCGAATAGTAGGGACTAAGAGAGGAATCAGAAAGCACATGCATGGCCTCTGTATCCAGCAGACAGGGCCTGGGCTCCACAAGGCCACGCTGCCTGCTCTGAGGGTCACCTGACAGGTACACAGGTGCTGGGGGAAGCTTTCCTGGTCACACTGAGCCTCCAGGACTAGTTCATCACTCACAATCACCTCCCTCCAGTAGTGTCTGTGTTGGCTGTCATGCAATTTGATGGGTGAATATAAAAAGATGAGAGATAAGGGTCAATGTTGCATAGTGGGTAAAGCCTCTGCCTGTGATGCTGGTATCCCATTCAGGTGCTGCTTTGTGTCCCGGATCCTCTGCTTCTGATGCAGCTCCCTGCTAATGCACCTGGGAAGGCAGTGGGAGATGACCGATGTGATTGGGGTGCTGCACTAATGGGGGAGACCTGGAAGAAGCTGCTGGCTCCTAGTGTGAGACCCACCCTGCTTCGCCGCTGCAGCTTTTTGGGAGGTGAGCGGCAGATGTACAACTTGTCTCTCCTACCCTAATCCTTCCACTTCTCTCCTCCTTCCTTCCTCTCTTCATTTTCACCTCTCTTTCTGTAGTTCTTTCAAATAAGTAATATTTTTTCAAAATGAATAATATCATTTACAGCATAATGGATAGAGCTGAAAAACGTTTATGTTAAACGACAAGTCAGACATGAAGAGACAGATGTGTCCTGTTCTCTCTTATATGTGCACGCTAAACAGCAAACAGGGCCCGGCACTGTGGAGAGTAACAGGTTGGGAGACAAACACCCTTCTTATTTGGGCACCACTTCGAGTCCCAGCTGCTCCATTTCTCATCCAGCTTCCTGCTGTGTCACAGAAAGTAATGGAACATGCCCAAGGGCTTGGATCCCTGTCACCCACAGGGGAGAGCTGGATGAAGGCTCAGGCTCCTGACTCTGGCCTGGTCAGTGTCAGCCTGGGCAGCTCTCACTCTCCCTGTGTAACTCTGCCTTTCCAAAACAGAAATAAATCTTCACAACATAAAGAGAAGATAATGTAATGAAAAGGACATGGAAATCATAATTGACCATATGGATCAGTACACACTGCACACATGCATTAAAATGCCACAGTTTACAGAAACACATACAGTAATCATGTATGTGAAGATCAGGATACTTAGAACTTAAAGTCCCAGTTTCAAGCATGAGGCTGGCCTACCATGGATTCTGGTTCAAGACGTTAAGCATTTTGGAGCTTCCACTGTTCTCTGTCTTCTGGAAACCCACCAGCTCTGGAAAAGCCATCTCCCTTGGCACACACAGCCCTGAGGAAAGGACCTGAGGCCTCTTCCACTGGCCACCAGAGGGCGCCACAGCCCAGCCTCAGACGGGGCACCCCTGGCTCTCAGCTCCACTGCTCCCTGGGACAGTCTGAGCAGAAGCCTTCATTCCAAGCAAATGAAAACAAACAGATGTACATTTCTATGTAAAACAATGGGATACAATAAACTTTTGGTCATTGTTTCCAGTTGCTAAATTATGAGAAATTTGGTATGTGACATAATATATGAAAGAGCTTCCAAAGAGGATGATTGATTGCAATTTAACTGACAGTAACTGAAAGATGATAAATGTGTCCTTTGGCTTCAAGATACAAGAATGACCATGGTTAGTCAGGATGAAGTTAATTACTGTTCACAATCATCTATCTGACTTTCCATTTTCAACCTGGATTTAATTAAACATCAAAAGAAAGGCCAAACCAAGCAGCCTGATCCTATAGTGGCCCCTATACACACCCCATGGGCAATTGCACACATCCCTGTGTTCAACCAACTGTTGATGTGGATGTCCCTGGAAACTGATTTTTTAAATGAAATGAAGGGCCCCATCAGTGGCCCTGAGACAGGTTGGACTGGCCAGTCTGGGGAGCCCTCCAAAGGACCAGGCTCTCTCTCTGCAGATTGAAGTGTCCGTCACTGTGTGTAACAATCATTCTGATGGTGCCAGGGGACAGCACCTCGGAGTATTGATTTACATTTCCCTGACAGCTGCTATGTTGAGCATTTTCCCAATATTGGCCATTTCTAGTTCTTCCAAGAACTCCAAATTAGTTCCTTTACCCATGTCTGTACTGGACTGACTGGATTGGTTTGCTTTGGTTTATTCTGGTTTTAACAAATAGGGCAAAAATGTGTGGAAAGGAAAATCACACACAAAGTTATCAGAAATATAAATTTGTACAACTATGTTAGAAAACACTGTTAATGTTTGAACTGCAGCTTCCATATGATCCAGCAATCCCATCCCGAGCACACAACAGAAGACCTGAACTCATTGTGTCACGGAACCTGCTGCACTGCTTACAGCAGCACTGCTCACAATGGCCCAGATTTGACATCAACTAAGATGTCCATCATCAGATGAATGGATAGAGAAAATACAGTATACAAACATGATGGAATACTAATCAGCTATACAAAGAGTCCTGTCTTCTCATTTGCATCCAAATGGTTGGAAGTGGAGAACATTATGTTGAGTGAAATGAGCCAGACACTAAAACAAATATCACATGCTGTCTCTCATGTGGGAGCTAAAAATGGAAACAATGTATTCTGTCTAAACACAGAATGCTAAGACTGGAGGCCAGAGAAGTAGGTGAGTTAAAGGAGTTGTGACCAAGATAAAGAGAGGGACTGAGAGTGGGAGGGGTTCAGTGTCAGGCATGACCTCCCCCAGTCCCTGACTCTGAGGACCCTCGGAGACAGTAGGTGGGTGCCCTGGCTGTGAGAGCTGTTCCCCCCCGAACCCTGACAGCTGTCCCACACACAGGACCCCAGGCCTCCACCTGCAAGGAGCTCGACTCTGCCCCAAGCTCCAAAGAGGCTGGAAGAGGATTCCAACCTCAAGAGGACAGCTCAGCTCTGTGAGAGCCTGCCCAGGGAGCATGGCCACACCAGGCCTGGACTCTGACCAGGGGATGAGAACAGGGAGGAGTGTGGTTCTGAGCACCCAGGTGTGGTAACCTGTGATGCAGGAATGAAAGCTAGCAATACCTGGGTCCCAGTGTGCACCTGATGACACCCCAGGAAGTGTCATCCTTGCTGGAGGGATTCGTGAACTCTGCTGAACACTCCTCCCATGAGACAAAACCTTCTCCAATGTTTGTTGTACTGTTTTGTACACTTGTCACATGATGCAATTAAACACTAATACAGTTTTATTTGGCTCTTTGGATCAATTGAGTGCCTTTTGTCAGCATCTCTATGTGCTGGGGTTACAGCTTTGACCAACAGCCCTAAGTCTGTGCTTATGGGCCCTACATTCTAGTAAAAGCGAGATGGAGCCATTTCAGTGAGTTACCTAACAGTCTACTTGTTTATATGAAAGGCAGGGTCAGGAAAGGCACTGTGGCACTGGGCAGGATAAGCTGCCACCTGCAATCCATGTACCCCAGATGAGAGCACCCGTGTGACTCCTGACTGCCCTGTTCGCTGCTCGTCCACCTGGGAGAGCAGGGGAACATGGTCCATGTGCATGGGTCCCTGCCACCACATGGAGACCTCAGTGGAGCTGTGGAATCCTGGCTCCAGCCCAGGACACAGCAACCTTTGGAGAGTGAACCAGTGGGTGAGAAATCCCTTGGGGATTGTCTGCTGCCTTCCCAGGTACATCAAGAGGAAGGTGGATGGAAGCAGAACAAACTGGACTCCAAGAAGCCCCAGGATGTGTGGTGCTGGCCTTGCAAATGACAGTTAACTCACTGACCCACAGCAAACGCTGCTGCTGGGCTGTTTTCATGAAGCAATGATCCCCCTGACTCACATCAGCGAGGCAGCTGACCACAGCGGGAAGTTTCCCTGAGTGGCAGGAGAGGGACCCTGCTAGGGCCTCAGCTCAAGAGTGAGAGGGGGTGAGAGGGACCACAGGGAGAGGAGGAAATGATAAAGGAAGAGCTAAGAGGAGGTGAGGACAGGGGACAGGAATCTTTTGTTTTGTTTTAAGATTTATTTTTATTAGAAAGTCAGATTTACAGAGAGGAAGAGAGACAGAGAAAAGCTCACTCCCCAAGTGGTCACAAATGGCTGGAGCTGAGTCAATCAGAAGTTAGGAGTCCAGAGCTTCTTCTGGGTCTAAAATGGGGGTACAGGGTCCCAAGTCTTTGGGTCTTCCTCTACTACTTTCCCAGACAGGGAGTGGGATGAGAAGCAGAGCTGCTGGGTTAGAAATGCCATCCATACGAGATCGAGGCACATGCAAGATGAAACTTTAGCCTCTAGGCCACTGGGCAGGGCCCAGAGCTCAGGATTCTAAAGCAGCAGGTGCCCAGGCCTCAACATGCTGAACCCTGAATATTAACAGGAATGTCCACAGAGCCCAGCTGGGTCCCAGCATTCTGTATTTAATGCATCCTGTGAGGCTGCCTGAAATCTAATATACTCCTGATGTGAATCAAGTTGAACAATAAAACACGCATGGGTCTAGGTATAACTAATTATAAAAATGGGCACGACCTGATCAGGTCTCTCAGGATCCCTCAGCCAGCCCCGGGCCTATCCTCAGGGAGGGGACATCACACAGGCCTGGGCAGCCGGGCACAGGGTCAGGGCACAGTCCCTGGTACCCGCCTGGCCCTCAGGGTCTCAGTCCCAGGGCGGGTCTGGGCCAGGGAAGCAAGTGCAGGGGAGTCCCCACCTCCTCCAGGTCACTTCCCCTCTCACAGCCTGAGTGAGCTGCTTCTGCCCGGACACTCCTGACGCGTGCACACCTCGCACTCACATTGGGCGAGCGGCTTCCAGAGGAGCCAATCAGCGCCGTCCTATCCCTTGTATAAAGTTGACTGCCAGGCTTCAGGATCGGAGTCCTCTGAGCTGTCCAGGATGGAGTCCATGGCGTCCCGGACCCTCCTCCTGCTGCTCGCGGGGGCCCTGGCCCTGACCGAGACCCGGGCGGGTGAGTGCGGGTCGGGAGGGAGACGGGCTCTGCGGGGCAGGAGCGAGGGGAGTGCGGAGGGGACACAGGACCCCGGGGAGCCGCCTCTCCCAGACCTCACACCCCCTACACCTCGCCATCTCACCGACCCCGGCTTATTCAAGTCCCTCCCCTCTCCTCGCCGCCTCATCTCGCGGTCCCCACACTCCCTTAGTCTCCGCCCCAACCCAGCTCCGCACTCCTCGGTCCCAAGGGTCCCGCTCCGGGCGGGGTCGGCCCTGGTCTCAGCCCCTCTCTCCCCCAGGCTCCCACTCCCTGATGTATTTCCACACCGCCGTGTCCCGGCCCGAACTCGGGGAGCCCCGCTTCATCGCCGTGGGCTACGTGGACGACACGCAGTTCACCCGCTTCGACAGCGACGCCGAGAACCCGAGGATGGAACCGAAGACGGAATGGATTCGGCAGGTGGAACCCGAGTACTGGGACCGGAACACGCAGATCTCCAAGAACAACGAACAGTTTTACCGCGAGGGCCTGAACATCCTGCGCGGCTACTACAACCAGAGCGAGGCCGGTGAGTGACCCGACCCTCCCCACGTGCGCCCAGGGCGCTCCGGGTCCCCTGGCCGAGGTCCCCCAGCCCGAGACTGCGCGCCCCGCGGAGACCCTCGGCGGGAGGAGCCGCGGGACACGCCCGGGTTTCGCTTTCGGTTTCCGCTGAAATCCCCGCGGGTCGGTGAGTGCGGGGCGGAGCTGCGTGGCCAGGGCTGACCGCGGGCGGGACAGGCTCTCACACCATCCAGTTCATGTCCGGCTGCGAAGTCGGGGCGGACGGGCGCCTCCTCCGCGGGTACATGCAGTTCGCCTATGATGGCAAGGACTACATCGCCCTGAATGAGGACCTGCGCACCTGGACCGCGGCCGACATGGCGGCTCAGAACACCAAGCGCAAGTCGGAGGCAGCGGGTGTTGCTGAGCAAGACAGGGCCTACCTGGAGGGCACGTGCGTGGAGTGGCTGCGCAGACACCTGGAGATGGGAAAGGACACTCTGCAGAGAGCAGGTGCGCGGGGCTGGGAGGGGCCGCCCTCACCCACCTCCCCCGGGGCTGGGGCAGCAAGGAGGGGAGGAAAGCGGGAGCCAGGCCAGTGTCCCGCTCTTCTGCCGTCCACAGCAGGGACGTCCACCTGGGTTTTGGGCTCAGTGCCAGAGACCCACTGTTCCCTCAGGAGAGGAGGAACCCGGGGAGGGACACGGGCGGGGGAGGGGGAAAGGCACAGAACATTCTGGAAAGGACCCTCTCAGTACCCTGCACTCAACCAAGATTTTGTTAGCTGTCGCCCCTCCCAGGCCAGTTCCTCAGCCTCAAGCCAGTGAACTGGGAGGTTTCATTCCAGGCTATCTTCCCCTCAGACACCTGGGCCCTCCTACCCTAGCCAGATACTTGATTCTAGAACTTTCCAAACACTACATTTATCGCATTGTCTTTATCCAGGCAGGGTCAGGGTTTTGACCTCCTCCACCACCCCATTTCCCCTGTCCACTCTCAGGAAGGTCACTGAGTGTAACTTTAGTGTCAGGGGAAGAACATGAAAGGCCTGAATTTTCCAAATCTCCCCTCAGACCCACCCACAGCACATGTGACTCACCACCCAGTCTCTGACCAGAAGGCCACCCTGAGGTGCTGGGCCCTGGGCTTCTACCCCAAGGACATCACACTCACCTGGCAGCGCGATGGGGAGGACCTGACCCAGGACACAGAGCTGATAGAGACCAGACCTACAGGGAACAGAACCTTCCAGAAGTGGGCAGCTGTGCTGGTGCCTTCTGGAGAGGAGCAGAGATACACGTGCCATGTGGTGCATGAGGGGCTGCCTGAGCCCCTTACCCTGACATGGGGTAAGGAGGACAGGAGAGATGGAGTCTCCAGCAAGGGTGGGAATGAGACCAGGAGTCAGAGCCCCTTATTGTCCCTTCCCCTCTCAGAGCCTCCTCAGCCCACTGTGCCCATGTGGGGAGTCATCGCTGGCCTGGTCCTCCTGGCAGCTGTGCTCATTGGAGCTGTGGTCACTGCTGTGATGATGAAGAGGAAGCGCTCAGGTAGGGCAGGGTGAGGGCTGGGTCTGAGTCCCCTGTCCTCCAGGGAGATGGTCCCCCTACCCCGTTTCTGGGAAGCACTGTGCACACACACCTGCACCCCTCACTGAGCCCCAGGTGCTCACACTGGCTCTAGTGTAAACCTTGAGTGAAGGAGAACAAACACTCCAGGGGATGACTCCGCTCACAGGGACCTGAGTTCCAGCAGCCCTAGGTCAGGGGGAGGTCCCAGCTGAGGGCACACTTTCAGGGGAGGTGCCTCCTAACCTTTCCTGGGTCTGTAGCCACAGTTCTGGAAACTTCTCTGAGATGAGCCAGTACTCTGTCCCTGCCTTCTCCCTGCCTCTCACTGGATGTTTTCTCTCACAGGTGGGAAACGAGGGATCTACACTAAGGCTGCAGGTAAGCACTGGGGTGTGTTTGGGGATGGGGGAGTCCCCACTTGCTCTAGTCATTTGCCCCTGGAGGTGCTGCCCACCCACCCTGTAGCTCATCCCTCAGCCACACCCTCCCGGCCTCTCACCAAGTCCTGATTGGTTCTCCCAGGTGGAGACAGTTCCCAGGGCTCCGACTCCTCTCTGAAAGTTTGAAAGGTGAGATCTGGAGGGCCTGGAGGGGAGAGGGGAACTGGGTGAGGGGGACTCAGAGGGGCTGGGGGATTCCTTGAATCTGGACATTTTTACAGTGTGCTGTGCTGTTCCTGTCCCCAAAAACAATGACCTCAAATTTTCACCTTGTATCTGTAGTGTGAGACAACCGCCTTGTTGGGACAGACCTGCTGAAGTCCCCATCTTGGTTTTCTTCAAAAAGCCCCACCCTCCCTTCCTGCCAAGGCAGCTGAGTGTGTTCCTGTGGGCACAGTGTGAGGTGGGAGCCTGGCCCTCCCAGCCCAGCACGGGCACCTCTGTCCCTGTCTCAGGTGGATCATCTGCTGCAGCTTCATCCTACACTGTGCAATTCATTTTTAACAATTCCAATCACCAGGTGTTGGTGAGAAAATTAAAAGAGGAAATTACAAAAATTTGGGGGGGGGGAGTTTGGGGAGGGGTCGGGGGGGAATCCCAGTGCCTATAAAATTGTGTCACGCAATGCAATGAAATAATAAAATTTGACAGAGAGAAATAAACAGAAGCACCAGGAACCTTCCAGAACCTGTGTTTCCTGTGTTGAGTCTATTGCAGGTGGGGACAGGAGAGGCTGGGAGGCTCTGGGTGAGGATGAGGCTGTGCCCAGGCAGTGCTCCATCCATCATGCTTTCTCTTGGTCACTGCTGACCCGGCTCAGCTGCCCCTGTGTCCTGGTCTCTCTGGTAGGACATGCCCACCAACAATTGCCAACATAGGACTCAGCCGTGGCTAGGCTGCCCTGTCTCATGGCCCAAGGCAATGGAGGCTGCATGGGTCCATGGCCGCCAAATCTAGGGCTTAAGTTCATCCCTCAGCTCCATCTTCCTGTGTTCACTTTGTTCCTTAGTGTGATTGGCTGATTGCTTCTGCTCTTCCTCTGTGAGCTCTGGTGGCCTTCACTTCTGTGTGTGCAGGACACAGTGTAGGAGGGAGACAGGAGGGCAGAGGACACTTGTGAGAAAGCTCAGGCCATGGGAACACCAGCAAGAGGGGACCTGCTCTGCAGCGGCCACAGGCAGCCTCTGTCTCAGGCTCCACTAATGAACCATGGGGTCTGGAAGGGCAGGTGCTACATGCTCATCACTCAGCTGACTTTGCTGTGGGTCAAACTCAGTGCTGGGCAAGGTGGTCCAGGGTGGGTGTGAGGGCCAGAGCAGCTGGCTGTCTCACCATCATGGTCAGTGTGCACTATCCCGAGGGGATGACCCTGAGTAAGGTTGGAAGGACACAGTTAGTCATCTGCAAAGAAGTTGTGGGGGAGGAGGACGGCCAGTGCAAATGCCCTGGGCAGGAGTGAGTCTGCACACAGAGCAGGGAGCCATCAGGAAGACTGGTCGGGACACCGCCATCCAGCAGGCTGCATGCACACTGAATGACTGGGCCCTGGTTCTGAGTGAGATGGGAGCGATGAGGCAGCTCAGAGTGTAGGAAGGACGTGTGCACCATATGTCCAGGGACCACCCTGGCTGCTGCGTGAGGACGGGGCTGAGAGACTGCGAGGCTGGAGACATAGATTTAGGGGATTATGTGAAGCCCAGACAGGGATGCCGGTCACTGTGGTGGGTGTGGGCATGGGCAGAGTGGAGACGTGAGGTTCTGGATCCCTCTGCAGATGGATGCACAGCACTTCCTGTGGGCTGCATCCAGGGAAAGATGAGGAGGTGAGGAGGACACCCAGGGCTTCAGGCCGAGCCAGGGTGGGGATGGCATCACCGTAGGAAAAGGGCAACCCGGGAGGGTGCATTCCATAAGGGACCACCCAGGCATTCAGTGCAGAAACCAGGATGTTGGTGAGAAGTGACACTGCAGGGCTGGCAGTGACCACGAGGAGAAGAAATGTCTGTGTGGGAGACTCACTGAGGATTCGGCTCCACATGAACCACATTTGCATTCAGGAGCAGAGATGGAGCACCCAGGGAGTGAGTGAGAGTGATGAGAGAGGGTGCAAGAAGGAGCACTGGGCCTGCAGGGCTAAGTCGATGGAGAGAGAGAAGGGGTAAAACCACAGCCCCACTACCTGCAGGGCTAGGGTCACTGGGAGAACGAGGGTCCACAGACATGTTGAGGGGATCCCGTGAGTACTAGGAGGGCTGGGACAGTCTGGAGCAGTCAGGGGGTCTGCAAGTGGCTCAGGTGGGATGCTGACGGCACCACCTCCAGAGCACACTCTGGCAGCGGGAGGGAGACAGGACTCCTACCTGGAATTCAGCCTCCCCTGAAGGATGGTCACATGAGCACACCTGGGCCCTGGACACCACACAGTGAGGGGCTACTCTGGCAGAGACCTGGGTGCAGGCAGCCTAGTTTACAGCAGTGTCACTTATGATCCAGGTTTACTAAGTGGGAAACACATATACCTGGTTCGGAGCCACACCTCCCCCCTGACCTCTGACCTTCTCTATGCTGCTGTGCTGGGCAGTGGTGCCTGGCAGGGAAGGGAGTCCCAAGTCCAGTCCCCACCCTCACTGGGCACCTTCCTGTTTAGCTGGGATGTCGGGGGGAGGGGCTGTCATTACATTCTTACCTTGTGATGTTTCAGCTCCCAGTGTTCACATCCAGACAGGGCACAGCCAAGGTCAAAGGTGCCTGTGTTCTCTGAGAGCCCCACGATCAACACTGCTGTCACCCACACTGGGAACCCCTGGGCCTGTGAACAAAGAGCACTACAAGATAGGGGAGGCATAAAAAATTGTTTTTATTTATTTGAAGATTTTTCTTTTCATCTTTTTGAAAAGGAGAGTGTTCTCCCATCCTCTGGCTCACTCCACAAATGTCCACACTGCTGGGGGGTGGGTCACGCCAAAACCCAGAGCCCAGAACTCAGTCCAGGTGTCCTGGTGCATCATCTGCTGCCTCCCAGGACGTGCACTGGGTGGACGCTGGATTGGAAGTGGAGCCAGAACTCCAAGAGAACACTGAGAGTGGATGAGGTGTCCCATGGAGACACTCCTGGGCAGCCCAGGAGGAAGGTTCAGGAAGAGGCCACAGCTGAACACACAGAACCTCCCTGGATCCTGCTGCCTCACACGGTGCCCCACATGGATTCTCCCTCCTTGGAGCCCACAATGAAATCTAGGAGCTTCTCATTTGCCCCTCACCTGGCTGTGTGACACTGTAGCTGATTCAATGAAGAGAAAATACAGAGACCCTGGTCAGGAGCAGAATCCATGGCCTCACTTTGGGTGGTCCCAGCTGGGAACCAGATCCCTACTGCTGGGCACAAAGGCACAGCTCACACCCCTGACCCTGATGCTGGACTTGGGCCTGCACCAGGACTGCTATCCCTGGGACCCTGGTTTTAACATTAGAGATGTTGCTGAAGTCTGGGGCTCCTGATGCTGCAGCTCTGAGGTGAGATAGAAATGCTTCTGTTGGGGCACAGCACGGTGGCCCAGTAGCTAAATCCTCACCTTGCATCTGCTGGGATCCCATAGGAGCCCTGGTTCATGTTCTGGCTGTTCTGCTTTCCATCCAACTACCTACTTGTGTCCTGGAAAAGCAGGAGAGGATGGCCCAAAGTCTTGGGACCCTGCACCCATCTGGTAGACCTGGAAGAAGCTCCTGCCTCCTGGCTCTGGATTGTCTCAGCACTGGCCGTTATAGCCACTTGGGGAGTGAGCCAGCAGATGGAAGATCTTTCTCGCTGTATCTCCTTCTCTCTGTAAATCTGCCTTTCCAATAAAAAAAAAATTGTTTTTAAATCACATCAATGAAAGAAGTAGAAGAGACAAAACAATGGAAAAAGTATTCCAATATCCAGGCTTAGAAGGGTTAGTATGATTAAATCATCCATGGTGCTCCAAGCAACTTACATATTGAATTTGATCCCAATAAATTTGTCGACGACTTTGTCCACAAGGAAACAAGAAAAACAAAACTCCAGATTAGCAGGAGATGAGAAATAAGAGGCAGAGCCACGTAAGTGAAAGTGAAACCAAGGGAAGTGTGAAATATTAACCAAAACAAAAAAATGGCTTGAGAAAAATAAGATAGTCAAATATTTAGCCAGGCTAACAAACAATGTTATCAAAACTCTGATAAGTAAAATTACAAATTAGGGCCCAGTGCTGTGGCCTAGCGGCTAAAGTGCTCACCTTGAACGTGCTGGGATCCCATATGGGCCCTGGTTCTACTCCCAGCAGCCTGCTTCCCATCCAGCTCTCCCTGCTTGTGGCCTGAGAAAGCAATCGAGGACGGCCCAAATCTTTGGGACCATGAACCCACATGGGAGACCCGGAGGAGGTTGCTGGTTCCTGGCTTCAAATCGGCGCAGCACCAGCTGTTGCGGTCACTTGAAGAGCAAATCATCGGACAGAGGATCTTTCTCTGTCTCTCCTCCTCGCTGTATATCTGACTTTGTAATAAAAAATAATTAAACATTATTATTATTATTATTATTATTATTATTATTATTATTATTATTATTACCCTCCTCCAAAGCAGGGTCCCAAGACCTTGGGCCATCCTCTACTGCCTTCCCTGGCCACAAGCAGGGAGCTGGATGGGAAGTGGAGCTGCCAGGGTTAGAACCAGTGCCGACATGGGATCCGGCTCATACAAGGTAGAACTTTGGCCACTAGGCCACTGCTCCAGGCCCAAAAACAAATCTTAAAACAAAGAAAGCCAAAGATCCTGGTGCTGTACCCTAGCGGCTAATGTCAGAAATCCCACACCCACTGGTTCACTCCCCAGATGGTCACTGAGCCAGGGCTGGGCTAGCCTGAAGCAGGATCCACCAGCTTCCTCCTTCTCCCCGATGGCTGCAGAGTCCCAGCACTCAGGCCAGCTTCTGCTGCTCTTCCAGGCACAAGGGCAGGGAGCTGACTGAGAAGTGGAGCACACAGGACTCTGTTCAACAGCCACATGGGACACTGGCATTGCTGGCAGCACTTTCCATGTTACACCACAATGCCAGCCTCTCATAAGAAACCTTCAGAAACAATTAACTCCTTCAACGTATAAGTTTGATTCAAATAAAAACAAAGCCTCCAAGCACGTGAAGGTTTATGGCTGATGACACCTGAGTACTGTAAGTTTTATTTGAAGGTCAGTTAAACTTGGGGTATCAAAGCATCTAACACACCTGCAGCAATGTGAGAGAGGCAACAACACTGAGTAATATAGGACAGCACACACCAGCAGGTGCACCTTGCAGGGTGCCTGAACAAACTCTCCTCCCACCTGCTTCCTGATTTAAGGACCCCGGGAGACCCCCAAGGGCCTCTCATCCTCTCCTGCTCCCAGGCAGGCCCTGGTCCACTCTTGCTGCAGGTTCAGCACCTCGCCCAGCTCAGGCTGCATCACAGGAGC